CTTTATGCATTTTCTGAACTCATCATTTTGCTGTGTCTTTACCCTGCATGTGCATCTGACCAACAGGACTTTCCTCTTTTAAATAAAACATTTAGATTTGATTTGATCTTTGCTTTCTGTTTTCAGACTGAAATATGCTCAGCCAAGCACACAGAAAGGGTAAGCTAATTCAAAAAGATATTTCTGTAATGACCGTTGAACATGTCACATTGATACTGTATCACAAACTTAAAGACTTAAACTGTCCTGACATTTGATGTATTGATGAAGAGCCAGTTGAAGTTGGAAACATAGTGTTTATGTAGCCTAATTCTTCAGGAGGTTTTCACATCACTTCGCTTGTTGCACTTTATTGTCTTGTAACATTTATGCTTTTCAAAAAAAAATTTGTCAGACATATTCCAACACAATCGTTAAATTATTTATTTTTTATGACTTGGCCAAATAGATAAACTAAAACTAATTATTGAGTCTTACAGGTGCTGGTGGGTAGATTTAGTTATGTTTGGACAGACCCTGGTTGGTTGTTTCCCACGGTTTACAGTCATGATGTTAAGCTAAGCTAACTAACTACTGGACGTAGCTTAGTATTAAATGAAGAGACGCAACTAGTATCAGTGTTCTCTCTAATTTGTGTTGTTGATTCATTGTTAATTTATTAAAAGTGATTGCAGCAGCTTCAATTTTTTTATTGTTTTGTAGTTCAATATGAAAATTGTTTCATGAAAATAATTTCCCAGTGAAGTGTGAAATATTATCACTTCACTTCAGTTGACTTACAACATATTATGTGGAAATATAAATGTTCACAACATTATAATAGCTACAGTTAGGTCTACATAATGTTTTGACTGTGCTCTTCTTCACTTGAATTGTTGATTGAAAATTAATAAGCAACTATTTTAACAACTGAGTAACAGTTTCTAGCCTTTTTTCAACAAAAAAATACAAAATATCATCTGGTTCAAGTTTCAGGAATGTGAGTTTGATGATTTTCCCCCTTAAACTATAGTTAGCTGAAAGCCTTTGGTTAATGCACATGTTTATCAGACAAGACATTACAATGGGTTGTGGGAAATTATAAATTTACTATTTTCATACACACACTGTACATATAGATAAATGCTTAATGCTAGAAGATTTCAGGTAGAAATCACAGTTTCTTTATTTTCTCCAGACGCACAGATGTGAACTCAGTGACAAACTGGAATGCTCCTCTGGTTTGGGAGGGAACCTTTGATCCAGTGGTTATTGATGCAATCTATAAGAAAATGGACCCAAGAGTTGCTGTGGTGGTGTTTGCTGTTGGCAAGTAGGTACAGTTATAGGAGTGAGGTTTGCCCTGACCCATTGCTTCAAGCTGGATTCTTACATTCTGTATGGTATTATTAGTGTTGTATCTTCTTATCTTATACTGATTGACAAGGCTTCTCACTTGCTCCTTTCCATCTGAACAGATACACCCGTTTCCTGAAGGGCTTCCTGGAGTCAGGAGAAAAGTACTTCCTTGTTGACTTCAGGGTCACTTACTACATCTTCACAGACAGAGAACAAGATGTTCCCAAAGTGAGTTGTTGTTTATTAAAATATATTAAAATAGTTTCATGCTTGCAACAGCTAAACATCTACCAGTTAGCGGCAAATGCTACAAATTAGTGTGTCTTGTCTCTTGTTAGGGTAGGTGTTTCACAAGGAGGTGAGAGAGAGAGAGAGAGAGAGAGAGGGAGAGAGAGAGAAAGAAAGAAAGAACTCATGGTGCAAACTCAGTGCTAGTTGGAAAAAAGAGTCTTTATTACAAAATGTATGCAGATGGAGAAGAACGTCAATGGGGTTAATGTGGCCTGACCAGGGTTGAACAGTGGAGGCTGAATAAGCACGAGAGCGGCAGGAACGGCTGCACGTGCATGCTGGCGCGAGAGGACAGATGAGCAGAGCCGGAAAACTCGAGTGGAATGAGTGGAGATGGCTGAGTTGCTGACTGGTAGATGAATATAGTGGGATGTAGCAGAAATCGTGGAGGCACTGTGGTGGATTTCATCGAGCACTCGGTGCTCAACATTGTTTAACTGCTGCTGATTGGTTGCTCATGGTTTGATTGGTTATACCTGTGTGTTATGCTCCTGAGTAAGACAGTAAAAGAGTTCACCGCTTGAGGACAAGCCTGGTCTCCGTATGTTATTACAGAACAGCGTTGATTAATGAAGTACTCACCCTACATTTGTAGCAATACATTACTGCAACAGTAAAGAACACAACAGGCACAAGACAAATCCAAGGAGTTGCCACAGGGCTGGAATGAAGCATAGTGTAAACAGAATCACGTGTGGCCGCATCGAACGAAAACCTCAACCAAGATGAAGGAGCGTCAGCCAGTGCTTTAAGTAGGGACGTTTGGTTATCGGGTTATGCGCCTCAGTTGTGTCGCTGAGCCTGCAGGATGAGAAAGAGGGAGACAGAAAGGTTGAAGAGAGGCAGGTAGCACCGAGCAGACCTGACAGTCTCCTTGTACTGCAGCCAGCACAGACTCAATAGTGCAGGAACTGGCACACATTTTATCATTAAAATTTTTTTATATATATTGTAAATTATGTGACAACTCAACTGCAACAACTCCTGTTATACAGTTGTAGAGAAACACACATTATTTGCCTGAGGCAGAGATTTACAAATGCTTTAACAACCGTTTTAGTAAGAAACAATAATTACTGCTTTACGGGTCTATGCCTCCACAAATGGGTCAAATTTAAAGGAATGGAACCAACATGAGGTCACTGATCTTGACCTTTGACTTTTGATGGCAAATCAAAGTGGACACTTGTGCATATTTGAAGAAATTCCATCAAGGAGTACATCACCAACTAGTATTATAATACTACAGTAGCCAAGAGAGCTCATTGCACTAAGACAGAAAAAAATTTGGAAAACCAAAGAAAGCAGAAAGGACAGTCACTTCCTGGTGTCTGGAATAAAAAGGATAATTACAGAGGATAAAATAGACGTAACAGGATCAGGTCTTCAAAAACAGTTACAGCTGACGTGTTCTGTAACACGCAGTAAGAAAATAAGAGGACAGAAAACACAAAACTGTGAATCAGATCCTTATATGTTACTTTGTATATAATGGTATTTAATACCAAAAGGCAACTTTAACCTCCATGAAAATTGTGAGTTCTTAGTGGTCACTTCAACCACAGTGTGAACCAGTAGAATTAGTTGCAATAAAACTGTGTAATTTGTAGTTCACGATTTCTGAACATTTCACAGTGTGCGCAACATATTGTGAACTTTTACAGGTTTTCTTCACTTTAAACTTAATTTTCCTGAACATCTCCTTTCACAAATACATCAAATGAATGTGACATCATTAAAACCTTGCTTCCTGATGAAGTCAGCTGTTTTATTTTGTGATTGGATGTTGCTTGAAGATGCCATATATAATTGATTTGTTGTCCTTTTATATTTGCCTGGACAGATTAAACTGGGTAACGGCCGGAATATCTCAGTTATCACTGTCCCCAGTGCAAACCGCTGGCAGGATGTAGTACTTGGCAGGATGAAATGGGCCACCATCACTATTGACAAGCAGGTAAGAAGGGAAACAGACCAAACAGGCCATACACAACACAAAAGACAGTGACTCTTTCATCTGGTTGCAGCAGCTAATGCTTTAAATCTTCACTGAGTGAGTTTTTCTATAGTTAGCCAACAGACATAGTGTAGTTCTGACAAAGGAAAACAACAAAAAATGAGTTCATGACCAGCTCTCTCATCAGCGTCATTGATGAGGTGTAGTAAAAATATCATATGGTACTCAGAAATATTATTTCATCTTAAATTGTCATT